AACGGCAATACTGGTGCAGGGTGCCCCCGGATGCCCCTCTCTCGAGTCACAACAAGTATAGTACACCTTACACCCCATTACAACAACCAGCTCTATATGACTACCCACGACATCAAATAAAAAAGGAGCCCCCATCCCTCCCGTTCATGGGCTCGCAACGCCCGCGTTCCTCGCCAACCTAGCGATCCTAAACTTCCGCTGCTTCCTCAACCAATCGCGGTAGTCCGCAACCGACTTGATCTTCTCGCCGTAAAAGTCTGGCATCGCACCGCCTACTCCTGGGACCGTAGGGACCACCGCCGCGATCTCTTGAGGTCGGTGGCGTTGGATGCGGTGGAAGAAGTCACGGTCTCGCTGTGTAATGGGAGGGGGGGAGGGGGGCGATGAGTTTTGAGTGGGTGAGAGTGGGGATTTGGGTAGAAAGATGGGCGGAGGGGGGAGGGGACTTACAACATCGAGGGCTTTCAGGTCAGCACTACATAGGGGAAGGAATAAGCAATAGTTAGAGCATAACAAGCACACTCCGCCCATCCCCTCCCGCGCACCAACTAACCCCCACCAAACACGCAACCCACCTCGACTTGGTCAACCTCCAAATCGACCCAAACGCCAGGATCCCTCCAAAATACCCAACCCCAGCAACAACAAAAGCACCCCCAATGTACAGCATCGTAGGGTCGCCCAACCCCAAGATCTGCTGCGAAGGGTCGAAATCCATCACGGCACCGAAATAGTACGACCCGCCGAGGAACCCCTGCAGGGCGCCTACGATCCCGCCGGCGCGCTCGGCATTCTTGCGCGAGTTACGGAGCGCAAAGTAGGTTGACCAGGGGAGGGGGTCGGAGGGTGGGAGGGGGCGTGTTGTCGGGGTCGGGGAGAAGGTCGAGGAGGTGGAGGAGAAGGGGGCTGAGATTGTATGCTGGAGCGGGAGGGGAAGGCGCAGAAGTGCGGCGGGGATAGGTCGGAGATTCGCGCGGGTGGCGAGGATGCGGAGGGGGGAGAGGAGAGAAGACGGGGGGGCTGTTCTTGCGGCGAGCATTTTGGCTGGAAAGGAGGGGGTGCTGGGGGCGGGGAGGAGATGGAAGGTGACGAGACATTTCGGCATTTCAGTCTTGGATGTTGGGCTCAGCGCTTTGCTGGGGTTCCCGCGGTACCAGATGCGACTGACTCTTAGCCGGATCTTTGGCCGTTACCGCGGCTCCACACCTCTTGTGAGCCCAAGTCGCGTCTGACGCGTTTTTCCCCCCGCGTACTGCTCCCATCCCAACCAACTCCCCCTTCTTGAACCACGAAAGCTCCCCCCTCCCCCCTCAGCGTCGTCCCCCATACTTCACATGGCCTGTTCCAGCAGGCGCGAAAGTGCTTACTCCCCGCATCCTCTTCCCAAACTGCGTTCGCCCCTCCTCCCCCCTCACCGTCCACGACCCGCAGCCCCACCTGTCTAACGTGACTTTCCCGTCGTCACTTTTCTCAGCCGCTTGCCCCCCCCCCCTGCCCCTCCTCAACTCCAGAAGCCATCTCCCCCGGCCTCAATCCCCCCCCCCCCCCCCCACCCCCCACCCCCCCACCACGCATTTCTCTAGCCGAAAGACTTTTCGAAGTTTGCCCGGTTTTCCATCCAGAGCACCATGTTGAGGAAGTCCGCCTCCGTTATGCGCTCACCCTTCTTTTCGCTGGAGGTGGTAGAAGCAGTGGAAGTGGAAGGAGCAGTGGAGTTATTGGGTCCGAGGGGGGTAGCGGAGGGCGTGTTCAGCATGTCGGGTGGCGGGCGACGGGCGGGAGATGGGCGGAAGATGGGCTGCACAGTTTGTTGGATTTTGGTTCGCTTTCCGATGTAGTCATCGGACCGATGATTTTTGGGTGTCTCAGGTTTGAAAGGTGGGATAACGCGTCGAACAACTTTTGTTCTGCGCCGGGCTTGTTTGACAAAAATCGTGGAAAAGTACTCGACCCAAAATTCAAGTTTGGGACCCCCTATTCAGTCTTTCTCTGACCTGTTTGCTCCCATCAATGAACTCCTTAAGAAAAATTGAGAGTGGGATTGTGGGAAGGTTGCAACGATGCCTTTGAATCCGCTGAGAAACAAATCGCCAAAGCCGCGGTGATTCCGACACCCAACACTTCCAAGCCCCACCGCCTCTATACAGCTCTGATGTCAGGGTGGGTGGCGTTCTTTGCCAACTTGACGACAAGGAATCGAACGCCCCATCCTTTTCTTCTCTCAAAAACTTAGACCTGCCGAGACCTGGTACCCTGTTGTTGAGCAAAAACTCCTCGCCGTGGTTTACGCGTTCAAGAAGCTGCGTAAATATCTGTTAGACGCAGATTTCAACCTTTACACGGACAAATATCTTTTCTCGAAAACCGGAGCGTCTGCTCGCCTCTCTTGTTGGATTATGCAACTGCAGGAGTACCCCTGCAAAGTCGAACACTTGCCTGGGAAGAGCAACTTTGTAGCAGATATTTTATCACGCTACCCCCCTGTCAAAAACAATAACCTAGAGGAGGGAATTGAAGATATGGTCAACCCTTCTCAACGAACAACCCGGGGAGGAGCCCTACTTTCCCAGATACAAGCCAGATTATCTTTACCTCTGGGCTTACCTCAATTCGAACAAGATTGAATCGTCCCAAAGGACAGATGAAACAAGATTTTCGCCATGTGGCAAGGATTCCCCCTCCATGATGACCACCTGTACAAGAAGGTCGCAAGACGTTTTGTCAGGGTCCCTTTTATCAGTCAGCGCCCGGGAGTCCTCAACGAAATCCACAAAAAAACCACGGTCACTTTGGCCGAGATTTAGGCTGGAGGCGACTGCGTCTCACCTACTTTGGGCCGTCCGCCTAACAAGACATGTCAGACCACATTCGAAAATGTGAGCCCTGCCAAATGAACGATCTACGGGTTAATCCCCATGCCAACTCCTACATCCCAATCACCACCACCTATCTCTTCGAGCGCTGGGGAATCAACTTTCTCACAATGCCCACCTCCAATCAGGGCAACAATTACCTTATTGTCGCCACAGAGTACTACACTCGCTGGCCTGAAGCAAAAGCTGTCCCCGCTGCCGACGCTGTGACTGCAGCTATGGTTATCTACGGGAATATCTTCTGTTGGTTTGGGCCCCCGCAGGTCTTCCTGTCAGATAACGGTAGTCACTTTGTCAACAATGTGATATCATCCCTTCTCAAACTCGTGAAGGCTCATCATCAGCTCTCATCATCCTACAACCCCTCCAGCAATGTGCTCACGGAGAGGTTAAACATGACGCTCATCAACATGCTTTGCAGGGTGAGCTAGGACGCCCCTAAGAATTGGGTTATCCACGTGGATTCAATTCTCTACACATACCGAACCAATGCCCACTAACTTCTCCGTGCCTCGCCATTTGACCTTATGTACGGCGCCGCCCCAGTCTCAAGCGACTCAATTCAATCTACTTGGTTTATGCTGGGCGGACAAAGGCTGGCTTTTCTGAACTCCCTCCGAGAGCAAGCCTCCAATCGCCTCCTCGAAATTTAGGCGCTTCTCTACAACCCACCAACCAGCAAGTACCGCGTCGGCGACCTGGTGTTGGTGAAAAACGCTTTTATTGAAGGCAAACATGACGAGAAGCTTACTCCTCGCTTCTCCGGGCCTTACTTCATTCGGGGAATCCTTCCCAAAATTAGCTACAAGCTCACTAACGTCCGAACAGGCAAGGATGTTAAGGCCTCAGTCAACGGTCGGCGGCTTCGCCGCTTTGAGACCTCTGACTGAGAATGGGGAGTGAAGACAAGGCTTGTTCTTACCGCGGTTTCACATTGAGGCGTTTGGATACCAAAATTATTGATCAAGATCATCGGCTGTGACAGAACTTTACCGAAATCCTTCGAAACGCTGCTCAAGACTCTCCTTTCGTCGATGACCGAGCTCCTCCCTTCACTTTCTCCGGAGCTTGAGAACTTTCCTGAGCTCTCCACCATCATCATGCCCCACAAATCTCGAAACTCGAAGAGCTTCTCAAGCTCTGGGCGGGGAAAGATGGGAATGTTGAGGAAGGATCAGGAAGGGTTTGGAATGGGGCGCGGGTGGCGATGTGGATCATCGGTGTGTTTGCTTTTTGTTGTTCGTCTTCATGTGTAGAAAGGGGGCGTTTTCCCCTCGAAATAAACCCCCTTTAAAATCAACTTGATCTCAGAGAGCATTTTCTCTAGCTCTCTGCCTACTCGTGTAGCCACCCGTCGATTCGTTGTAAGGATTAATTTCCTGCTTCACCGAGTTGCGTCCCCCCTCCAGTCGAGATCCGACTCGACGACTCAACCATCCGACATACAAAACTATTTCACCTTCGATTCAGTTTAAAAAAGAGACTCTCCAGGTATTGAAGAAAAAAAAGCGAACCGAACGAAACCAAAGCTCTTGTGTGCTATTTCGACCTCCCCCGACGACGGCACCCACCATCCGAGCCCGCTCTTAATCCAGCCTTTCCCCCCCTCCTGCCAGTTGCGAGCGTTACACGAATTTATCGAAGTGGGCGACAATTCTAAAGGGGGATCGGCTTGGTTCGAAATGAGTATGTGAAATGCGAAGGAGGCCAGCCAAAGCGAAAGAGGTATTTATCGAAGCTCACCTTCTAGTCCTTCCTTAAAGTCGACTCTTCGACTTCCATACGGCTTTTCGCAGCGCCTTTGACTGCCTGAGGCGCGCATCGAAAGCTCGCAAGCTCACCCGCAATATTGGCCGATAGCCTCGATCGCGTCTCTTGGAACTCGGCGTGGATCTTCAGCAAGTCCGCGTTCGCATCGCAAAGTTCGGCCATGAGCTTCTTGTGCTGCTCCTTCCCCGTAGGCTCACTACCGTCGAGCTCCGCCGCCGGAGAGACGGTAGCGGCGGGGGGTGGACAGTCCCGACGGGTATCGCGGGAAAGCACCTGCTACATCCAGGCAATTGATTGATTCGCCGAGTAAAATACGATGGGCAAGCAATATTCGACATGACGTGAACGACGTGCTAGCATCCGAGACGGGGATCGAATGTGCAATCTTTGCCTGACTAGAACCTAGGAGGGCAACGCGTTGCCATTGCGCTACCCGGGCGTATTCGTGACGTCAATCGCGTCAACTTGAGCATGCGTTACTGAAGTGTACCTCCATTTCAGCCCGTTCGCCACACTCCCATTACCATCGCTAAACACCGCTTCTGTTCTCACACTTAACCTCACCTTTTATCGCCATTAAGACCAAAGAATTTCACTTCGTGTCGGTCCTCTTCCTGGCCGGCGCGAAACGGGACGATCGTCCTTCGTGAAGGCGTTCGAAAAGGACGGTGATGGCGGTCGTCAAAACAAGGAACCGCACTCGGGGCAGTTTCTGGAGAATGGGTTCGGAGTCGCTGGGAGCCTGGGATTTCAGCTACATTGCAGGCGATGCCAATGCAACCGGGTGCACGCCGGCAGCAGGCAGTGGAGCTAGCTCATCCCTCGGGCCCCTCGTAGCCAGAGGAGTTCGATCAAGTTAATGGTAATGGCCACGCCCCGCTGATCGCCACGCCCCTTCTCTCCCCCGTCCAGCTCGGAAAGAACAGCGTCTTGGTGGTGTGCTGTTGACGCTGGAGGGGAGGTGTAAGGGAGTGTCAGCACATGGGAGAAAGCGAGTTGAGACTCTGCGAATCAAGCACGCAACCAAGTTCAAGGCGCTGACTCGACGACCCTCATCTCTCCGAGAAGCTCACTCCTGCGCTTGCCTCGTCGCTGCATTTGGCCCCCTCAAACCCTCATGCTGCACATAAAAACCCGCGAGCACAAATACCCCCCTCCGTGCGCACGAAAACTCTAAAAGAACATCCGGCTCCTCAGCGTTCCGCAGTTCGCATTGATGGCCCTGCTCCCTGCTCCCTAGCATGGCCGCGACGCGTTGTTGGCGCTTACGGAACCCGCATCATGTTTCGCTGAAACAACAATAACCGTGGCCTCCGTCCTCATACCTCAAAGCCCTCTTCCCCCCATCTTCCTGAGAGACCTAAATACCTCGAGCCTCTCATGATTTCCCCCACGCACAAACTTCCCTCAAAGCCCTCACCCATCCCCTCTCTCTGCACTACAATGACCACCCCCACCACCCCCACTACCCCCGACCAACCTCTCCCAGACCCTCAACCCCATCCACCGCGATTCTACACGCTCGAGGAATACGAGACCAAGATCCGCAACTCCGACCTCCCCGACGACGTCAAAAAGCGGACCCTCGAACGCAGCGAATACCACAAAAGCAAGCCGAGGAACTCAGCAAAGAACCCTTGCCCGACGCGGCCGTTCGCTTCACATGGGACTCTAGCATCGACCCAAAGTAGCAGATGGCTCGTGTGCGTTCGTGGGTTGATGAGCGGTGTGCGCGCGCGCAGGGCGGGCAGGGAGATCACGACGCTCAAGGCGCTCAAGGTGGTGAAGGCGGTGAAGCCGCTCAACCCGCTCAACTCGCTCAACCCGCTCAACCCGCTCAAGGCGCTTAAGCTGGAGGGTGTCAACCTGTCTGAGCTTATAAGGCTTACTTGCGGCTATCATGTTTGCTTCGGAGGAGATGTGATGCCCTTCGAGACGGTATGTGGAGGTGTGTCGGCGGAGTGGGTAGCTATTGTCTTGGTGCGATCCACCAACATGAATCCAAAAGTGGGTTATGTACCCGTCCAGCTTCCCATGTGAGCTTAGTTGGGCCATCCAAATTTTCCAGTAGGCGGAAGGGTAGAATAGGAGGGCGAGGTGTTAAAGGGTTAGGACGAAAGAGTGTCCCGGCCGAAAGCGCGTAGCCTGTGCTCTTCGTCTCCACTCGTGGTCGCATTTAGCCAATCTTTCCAAGACGTGAAGAGCTCGTTTCCGTCCCCCACCTCCGCCTCACTCGACCCCAGCCTCTTGAGACGAGCAGTTGAAGTGATGAGTTT